TGGCTACGCGCTTGGTGGTCTTTGCCTTATCCTTTGCTGCTTCCTTCTTGGCTGCAGTGGATGGCTTGGCTTCAGTCTTGGGCTTAGGCTTGGGCTTGCTGGCCGCAGCCTTTGCATCCTTACCCTTGGCCTCTGTCTTGGGCTTTCCAGCAGCTGCTGGCTTGGCATCCTTTGCCTTGCCCTTTGCAGATGCTGGCTTTGCTTCTGTCTTGGCAGACTTGGCAGCCTTGGCTGCAGGCTCAGCCTTGCCTCCTTTGTCATCTGCTGGGCGCTTGACAGCCTTTGCCTTAGGCTTGGCATCAGCCTTGGGTTTGGCATCAGCTTTAGGCTTGGCATCACCCTTTGCAGCCTTAGGCTTGGCATCAGCCTTGGGTTTGGCATCACCCTTTGCAGCCTTAGGCTTGGCATCGGCCTTGGGTTTGGCAGCAGCCTTAGGCTTGGCATCACCCTTGGCAGCAGCTGCTTTGGGCTTGGCATCACCCTTGGCAGCAGCCTTGGGCTTGGCTTCACCCTTGGCAGCAGCCTTGGGCTTGGCTTCACCCTTGGCAGCAGCCTTGGGCTTGGCTTCACCCTTGGCAGCAGCAGCTTTGGGCTTGGCCTCGGTTTTGGGCTTGGCCTCGGTCTTGGTAGCCTTTGCTTCCTTTGGCTTGGCCTTGCCGTCAGCCTTAGCCTTGGGTGCAGCATCCTTTGCTGGCTTGGCCTTAGCAGCATCCTTACCTTCTGCCTTTGCTGGCTTAGCCTTGGCAGCCTTGGGTGCTGCATTCTCCTTGCCCTCAGCCTTTGCTGGCTTGGGCTTTGCAGCAGCACCACCCTCAGCCTTTGCAGGCTTGGGCTTGGCGGCCTTGGGCGCGTCCTTGCCTTCCGCCTTTGCTGGCTTGGGCTTGGCAGCACCTTCAGTCTTCACGGGTTTGGGCTTGGCATCCTTACCCTCTGCCTTTGCTGGCTTGGGCTTATCAGCCTTGGGTGCTGCATCTGCTTTAGGCTTTGGCGCAGCAGCCGCTGCAGGCTTGGCAGCCTTTGCCTCGGCAGACTTGGCACCTTTGGCCTTCTTCTGGGGAGGCTTATCCTGCGGAGAGAGAAGACAATGAAACTTTCGTACTAAAAGATAAATATAAAAATAAAACAAACTTCATCAGTCAAGATGGGTGGTTTGGTCAGCATTGCCACTGCCTCTGTCCAATAAACACATCATATGCATAAGCTAGAAAGGTTTAACCGAGTATATGCAGTCATTAATTCTATATGTAAGTGACTAAGGTCTTCATAAGTACATCTACCTAATTGTCTATTTTACCCAAAGTAATCTCATCAGTACAAAAAATATTCATGATGGCATCCATAAAGGAACTATTTATGACTTTTCAATACTTTAATCTTGCTATACCATTTAATACATATCAGCAGTAACCGTATCTAGCAATTCTTACAAGGTTTCGCACTGAAAAGAAAAGCCGTCAAGAATAATCTGACAAGAAATGTACTTTAGATTCCTTCCCTTCTTGACGGTTGTTCTAGCTACATGATGCGAAATTCGCAGAGCTGTGATGGTCTTTCATAAAATGCAAGGCTGCACACTGTCCTGTGGCAGGTGCATGGGTCTTGTAAACATTGACCCATTTGCGTAGTCCTAAATACAATGTTATAGGAAAATAATTGAGCAGGAAGGTTTAAATTTACGCTTACCTTTCCCTCTCAAATAGTTTATTCACCCATGGTCATTAACATTTTTAAAAAATGACAAATCCTAATGAAGTACTGTAAGAAATCTAGCAAAAAAAAATATGAACTTATTTTATAAAGTGAAATATTTTAATTAGTAAACTAGAAACCTACACCTTAATGAACTTTAAAACGAAATTTCACAATCATGAATTTGTCTTGGTCAATGGTAAACATTTCATGGGCGATTTTCCCCCCCAGTTTCAGAACGTCAAAAATTAAGGCACGAAAGAGCGTTTACAATAACCAAATGCAAGAACACAACCAAATAAAGGAAACCACAATAAAAAGATGAGAACGGAACGAGCTATTTCTACTTTGTTTACGCCTCGCTCTCCCTCGTGTTTCTCAAGCGGAGTCCCACGTTCGTCGCACTCGCACTTTTCTTGCTTAATTCACTACCAGATTTCAGGTCTTTCTACTTTGAAATACGCTCGCACTCCGCCTGGTCGTGAATATCGCACTGCACTCTAGTTTAGAACAGCTTGAAACTTGTATTTGGACACTCCTTGCACCGCGAAATGTCGAGCACATGTGTTCCCAACACCTAATATAAACACCGGCATTTTTCGCCATTATCTCCTTTAAATCCCGATAAATACACTTGAACAAGATTATAACCAACACTACATAACTCCTCCCTTGCGATTCCACACGGGAAAGGGGCCAAAGCACTCGTTTTCCCGTCGAAAGCGAGGAAATCCGCGAGCTTACCTCAGGCATCTCTCGCTATTCGCTGGAAAAAGGACGTCCACGCAGCCCGGGAGAGACTACTACGACG